TGCGGATAACTCAACAGAGTTAATGGCCTGAGAAATGTTTCCTTTTGTTCATGAATTTTTGCTTTTGATACCTAAGAAGACTGTTTTAAAAAAAAATTAAAAACTGTTTGGCTGTCTTCTAGTAGCACTGCAGAATTGCTAACTTGAACTCTCAGCTTACCATTATCTGTTTTTGGAGAGGTGCCTACTTTCAAGTTCAGTGCTGTGCAGTCTACAAAAGAGTCTTTTAAGGATGTTGTGCCAGACTGTTTTTCACTCCCAGATAAGAGGTTAAATGGACTGGTAGAAACTCAGCAGGAGCTAGGACCTACTACTGGTCAAAAGCAAAATGCTGACAGTGAACAGCTTGGCAGTGCTGTGTCTCTGTACAGGGCAGCAGCGTCCAGATCCTAGAGAGTGCAGAAATCAGGAGAAACTGGAAGAAAGGGGATATATCTCACAGGTGTATTTCTCAGGATGCTGTGTTCCTTGGTGTCTGACACTAGAGTGATTGCACTGTGCTGAACCTAAAAACCATGCCTACATAGTAGGCTTTTTAGGTCTCCAGAATACTGGACTCTCTTCTGTACATTCAGTTATGAACATTTTCACTTTAGGAATTAGTTTTTAAGGAAGAGGTTGTACCATGCTTTTTTCAGCTTCCTCTTCAGGATCAATTTCACTTTCTGGCAGCTTTTGTTCTTGGAAACGTTAAGTAATTTTAGAACAGTATTGGGGAGAATAGAGGAAATTAAATGTTTAGGCTCTAGGTGTGGATAGAGTGTCCCTTCTTCTCTCTCCATTTTACATTTTTATGGTTTGTTTTCTGCTCATTGGTGTGCAATTTCCAGCATATTGGTGCCAAATTACCTCTCCCTTGCTGCCACCCCTGTAACTTTTAATTACTCAGGTCAGCTGTTCTGTCCTCTGCCTTTCCTACTCCTTCACCTTTTCTTCCTTGTGCCTTTGTAAATTTGATCCCATCTATCAAGACAGTAAGTCACTCCATAGGCAAAGAGCGTTACTGGGGCATTTGATTCCTGGGCTGGAAAATCAGGATTCACAGGCTGGATGAAGGCAACTTGACTTGAAAAGCAGTGAATGAATGTAGTCTAAACTTTCAAAAATAGTGTGATTAAAATTTACTCCACTGGCTCATACTACATTATGTAGGTGGAAACAGTTTTTATTAGAGTATTTTTAAAAAGTGCTGTTAGCAGCATAAAAGTGTGTGGAACTGCTGGTTGTCTTTCGATGAGTGTGTGACCTCTATCTTATAAAGGTCCCTGCCAGAGCTGCTAATTCATTCACTCCTAAAGATGTTGTGTATACATAAACACACACACACTTGGATCAGGGGATGTTTCTGCAACAGTATAAGGAAATTCTGCAGATGTCATTATGAGCATGTTCGTACTGGCTCTAATTCTTGGCAGACTTAACCTGTCCATGCTGGTGAGAGGGAAAAACAAAAAGGAGCTTTTATGTCACTTACCTGCTTGCAACTTGCTGACCAAGGAAAAGGAGGCAATAGCAGGAGAAAAAAAAATTAAAAAATGCCAGAATGCCCCAAGATTCTTCTTACATGCTTTTGCAAGTGCAATTTCTGCCTTGGGGGTCTCTTTGTGAGAGTCCTGAGTCCATTTCATTTAAGGCCAGCTGTCTGTTGAGCACACTGGTTTTGTCCAGAAAATGTACTAGAAATTTGGACTGTGTCAATAGCAAGTCACAGTCATCAGCAAAATAGTTTTCTTTTGCATAATGGGACAGTTTATTATTTTTTTTTTAATACGATACGATGTTTTATGCAAGTTAAGAAAGTAGATTATAAAAAAGGAGAACGTTTCATAGTGGTCTGATTTGGTGCACTGACAAGCACAAGTGCAGAATTATGGACACCATGCAGAGTTTATGGGAGGCAGTCCCTAGCTGTCCTTGCAAATGGAAGAGCAGAAACAGCTCTATGACCAGAGGGGAGGGAATGAAGTTTTAAAATCATGAGACAAGCATTGAGCATACTTTACTGGACAGACATTCAGCACTGGTTTATGCCTCTTCTATAGAGGAGTTACTAACTCTTAGTTCTGCTCAGTTTCTGTCTGTATGATTTGTAAATGCACCTTTGCTTTTGGATAATAAATGACACACAGCTTCTTGGCATCTCAAGGCTTGACTTTTTGTCTTGATTACCTTGGACACCTGGCAGATGATAAATGATTGATTTAAATAAACAGTAAAAGCTACACAGTGCCTTCCATGTGTGTTTATCTTAACTTTGTAACACAGTCCAAATATTATTTAACTGTCTTTATTTAAATTATACAACATTCCCTTACATACAGTAGAACAGCTGATGCTTCTGCTCTACTTACTTGTTGGACATAGTTACTTACTACTTTGTATTTTCCTAAGTATGATTGGGACTGCTGAACCAAATGGTAAACGAGAATTTTTTTACTTGACAAATTATTTTAGTCAAGTTCATAGGATCATAGGATTATGGAATCATGAAGATTGGAAGAGGCCTTCAAAGGTCAGCCAGTCCAACTGTTCACCTACCACTACCATTGTAGCCCCTAAACCATCTATATCACACAGCACCATATCCAGACTTCTCCTGAACACAAGTGTTGAAATTAGTTTGGAGGTTTGTTTTTTTTATTAAGACTGTCATTTGCTTTGCCAAATAACTTCTAGGAACAAGGTGTCTAACTTGTTTTCTGATCTGAAGGTAATGCTGTTGTTTTCTGTGAACTTCTGGGCTCTTATATATGCGCTATTGCAATGCATTGGAGGAATGTCAGTTCTTACTTTGTATATAGAAAATACTATTTTCCATTGGTCAGTGCATCTGGTACTTACTTTTTATTGCAATAACAGTGACATTGATCCTTTACATATTTACAGGAGACAGTAGTTATAAAGAAATATTTGCCATAATTTGTTTACCAAAGAAAACCTAGCATGAAAACATAAATCCAGGTGCAAATGGCTATTAGTTTTAAAGCCCTGCCCTTTCTATTAAAAGTCTAAATTGATGCTTATTATATTTAAATTATAAATGCAGAATTTCTAACATCCATTGGCATGTTCTCACCACTTTGTGGCCAAAAATGGTTCAAATACCTGTTTCTGCAGCTTGTTGTGTATTAGCACAGTAGTACAAGTACACGTCTAATGAAACAGAGACACAGTCTCCATGCAAACAAACTGATAATACAGTCAAACCCCGCTGTAAAAAGGTTATTGCTGCATGGGATAAATCATGTTATACTGTGGTTTGCACATGGAACCATCTGGTGGTAAAAGCAGAAAAATGACAGATAGACCATCATTAGTAGAACATTTTTCTGTATGCATCTTCCTGAGAATTCCTTTTACAAAATGTGGGGTTTTGGGTTGGGCTTTTTTTTTTTGTGGACTTTTTTTTTGTTTTTTGTTTTGTTTTGTTTGTTTGTTTGTTTTAAGTGGAAGCTATGGCTTGATTACCCTGAATTCTCACTGCTTCTATCTTGGTTGTAGTGGTGGTTATTCCAAATTTCCCATGGGGCATCAGCTTAGCCATATGTAATTACATAATATTGCTTTCAAGACCTGTGTGTGAAGAATAAAGGAGAAAGAGAGCTGTAACACTTCATAATGGTTGTCTTATAAAAAACAAACAACCAAATGTTGCTACTTTGCTTTTCTTGTTGGTGCATTAGCCAAGATCAAGAAAGTGAGCAAAATGTAATATTCAGACTGATCCTGTCTCAAGAATGTGGATTTCATAGTACATTAAACTTGGCACCTTGAGATTTTTCTCTCTGATTGAAATGTTTCTAAAAAAAATTTTGCATGTTAGAGACATAACTTTATGTAGACTCTGATCAGGAGAATTTGCTATTTAACTTACTTTGCTGAAAAGTAATGGAGAAGTCATGGCAGTCAGATGAAGGCCCAGTTGACTGGAAAAAGGGGAACATTGTACCCAGACTTAAAAAGGGTAGAAAGGAGGGCACTGGGAACCACCAGTCAGCCTCACCTCTGTGCCTGGGAGTTTCATTAAGCATATCTTCCTGGAAGCTCTGCTAAGGCACATGGAGGACCGGGATGTGATTTGGGATAGCCAGCACAGCCTCACCAAGGGCAAGTCCTGCCTGACCAACCTAGTGGGCTTCTATGATGGAGTGACAACGTCAGTGGACAAGGGAAGGGCTACAGATGTCATTTGTCTGGAATTCTGTAAAGCCTTTGACAATCCCCCTTAACATCCTTCTCTCTAAATTGGAGAGAGATGGATTTGATAAATGGACTGTTGGATAAGAAAGTGGTTGGACACTCAAATCCAGAGGACAGTGGTCAATGCTCAGAGTCCAATGGACATCAGTAACAAGTGTCCCTCAGGAGTCCACATTGGTATTGTTATCCAGTGTTATTTACTTTCTTCATTAATGACATGGGTGAAGGGATCAAGTGCATCCTCAGCAAATTTGCAATGACACCAAGCTGACACTCTTGAAAGATGGAATGCCATCCACAGGTACCTGGACAAGCTCAAATGATGGGCCTATGGGAATCTTGTGATGTTTAATAGGACCAAGTGCTAAGTGCTGCACCTGCATCAGGACAACTCCCAAACAAGCTGTGGGATGAACAGATCAAAAGCAGTCTTGCTAAGAAGGACTCAAGAAGGACTTGGGGGTGCTAGTGAATGAGACTCCTTCATCTGAGTTTCCAGCATGACTTTCTTGGTACATCTGGATAATGTAGATGTAGACCAACAAACACTGCATAGAAGTTGTTTCTAAAGCTGTGTTCATACATACTCATTTTTTCAATTTCTTAGTTTTCCTAATGTCTGATTCTGAAATCTGATAAATCCTGTTCTCATTTCAAATTCTTCTCTGGGTAGTTGTTCTTTTATTTCCTTTCTCATCTTTCTCATGAGATGTCTTTTTTGGGGAAAAGACTTGGCTATTAAACAGTCGAGGGAGAAAAGAAGAATTATTAATCAAATCTTTTGTACTGTTTCCAAACAGGGACGAAGAGGCTTAGGTTCGGTCTTTGTTTGGGCATCTGGAAATGGTGGAAGAAGTCGAGACCACTGCTCCTGTGATGGCTACACCAATAGCATCTACACTATATCCATAAGCAGTACAGCTGAAAGCGGAAAGAAGCCGTGGTATCTGGAAGAATGTGCGTCCACACTAGCTACAACATACAGCAGTGGAGAATCCTATGACAGGAAAATAGTATGGGTTTTAATTGTTTTTTTCATGTATATGTGTTTGTATTTTGCACAGCGACTTTGGGGGCTGGAGAGAAAGAGAAATCATTTATACTAATATCTTTCATTTGTTAACACTTATCAACAGTTTTCACATTTTATAGATGTATTAGCAGTTTACCTAGATATATAGATCTCTATTTTCTCAGATTTGTTTTGACCCAGCATCATTCCTCTTTTACATTCAGTGACAGTCAGTTATTACTGACATATTGCTGCCTATTCTGGAAATATATTGTAAGGAAAATTAGGCTCAGTGCTCATCTTTTCTGTGTTGTTCCTCTTCTCATTCCTAAGCAGCCAGCATCTGTTTTCCCTGTTGTTCTCATCTTTGCTGGCAAATGACAAATAGTTTTAATTCTGTTTGATAATCTGTTGATATCATTATTATTTGTACAACCTATGTGCCTTTGCAAAATGAATGCATTCAGGATATATTCCAGTATTCAACATTCTACTTCTTTTAACCTTTTAAACCTTTTAAACCTTAAATCTCAGCTTGATGAGGTTTGCTATTATTGTCCTCTTCCCTGCTTATTTATTCTAGTGCTTAACTAACCAAAATTTATTACTTCTGGATCATAAAATTGAAGGATTTGGAGAGCTTTTTTCTTCCATATGTTTTCTTAAGGACTTATCTAACATTTCTTTCTTTCTTTCTGGTCCTTAGCAGATTCTTCTCTTGGTGTCAATAAAGAGTTAAAAATATTAGCCTCTATGCTTTTTTTAATACTGTTTGCCTTGTCTTTCAGGATTCTGGGATGCTGGCCATCCCTTCTTGGATTCTTTTTTATTTTCAGATGGTCTAATTTTTGTTTTAAACTTGTTCTGAGATCCTTCTTCATTCGGATGATTTTTCTGTTCTTTTCTTGCATCTCTTCACTGAAGCCTTCTCTCTCACTTCTTAACATGTTTCTTGTTATCCCTGATAAATAATAATAAATAAAAAAAATACTGTATTTACTAGGAATCCTCACTTCTGTGATTAAATTCCATTCACCATCCTTTAAAAGATGTTCACCAACTTTTTTATGTTTAAGTGAGATTAATAAGCTGAGAAGATGGGATTGTGGTCCTCCCTCCTGACCTCAACTTAGCCAAGTCTGTAGGACTTCCCTGAGTCCTTTGAATCCTGCAGTTGCTGTCAAGTCAACAACAATTTTTATAAATATAATCAATACTGCTTTCAAAGTTTCCAGTGACAAAAAAGTCCACTTAAATTTAGTATAAGTGTTTTTAATTATTCATTGGCATTAAAAGATTTCTCCTGTTTGCTCTTTGAGCCCCATTAGCTTTGATTTATAAGCATTTGGTGTCACAAATTTTATTGCTAGTATGAAGACCACTCCAGTTGTCTGTCTTCTCTCTGCCCACGTAGCCCAGTTGATCCCTTTTGATTTTGATAATGCAAGGTAAGCTTCTTGTTTCATTCTAAGTCATGTTTCCTTATAAACCCTTTTTCATGTTACAAGCTTCTAGAGTCCAAGCTAAACACACCGGTCAGGTAGCAGCAGTATTCAGTAACAAAAGCACAGGAAAATGGGTGCCTGTATGTGCCGGATCAGTCTCTTTATATATTGACCCTGAGACTTGTTAGCGTCACTGTTATGTAATGTGTCCATCACTATGTGATGCCCAGCCCATTTTCAGAGCTGCTGCTTCTCTTTTTCAAAGTTGGTGGTTCCAGGAAATATGTGGGGGTACTTAGGGTCTCCTTATTCCACCATTAACAACTGGCTGGTTTAGTACTCAATTCAGACCAGCCTTCATCATCACTTTGTCATTTTCCAAGTTTCTCCAGCACTCATCAGAAAGTGCTAGTGTTTTCTTCCATGTCTTTGGTAAAAGCTTTAGTTCATACCATGGCCAAGAACCAGTTTGTAGAAGACCTGATTAGAAACAAGACTAATTTCTTCTATAAGGATATATATAATTTCTCTGCTTCTAATCTTTTCTATATGCTTACATTTTTGGACCTTATCCCAGTTTAAATCAAGGTATTATGCATCATGTATATTTTTAATTTCTTAAATTTAAATACTTTTAAAAAAAATATTACATGATGTCTCTTGTAAAATCCTGAGTATATTACTTTCAGCCAAAGTGATGGCCAGAAAAAAATAGTACAGTACTTTGGCAAGATTCCTTTTCCAACATCTTATTTTATCCATCATTGAGTATACTACTAGCTAATTAATGTATTAGTAATTAGTTTCAATCCTGTATCAGCCGTTTTACACTAGATAAAAAGGTGGAAAATAGCTGATATTAATAAGACAATACTGCTTACCCTTTTAAAATAATGACACTATGCAGGTTTTCTGTCAGTTTTCTGGAACTTGTGCAGTGTTCAAGCATTTGCTAAAAACAACACAGCAGTTCCCTTTCCAGCTCTTGTAAAAGTCTGTGGCACTTCCAATCTTTCTGATTTAAACTTCTTATTTAAAATAGAGAAAAATAGGGAGATGATTTATCATCTCTCTATTCTTTGAAAATTTAATTTAGACCTTTTTTTTTCCAAAAAGGAACATTCCGAGAAAAAGCTGTTCACTACAAACTATTATCTCTGCACAATTAAGATAGTTTGGGGATTCTTTTGCTTCTGGTGTATTTTAAATAAAACATACTTACACATTATTTTTTAGGTTCACCATTTAATCTTGTGTCTCCTTACTGCCTCTGTGCATCTTTTATCTTCAAATGTAATTAATTGCTGTTCCTTTATATCTTTGCTCATGTTTTTAATATCAAGTAAAATATCTCTGTATTTCTCAGTCATTATTTGTACTTTATTACATTGCTAATTTAAGCTTTCTGCATTCCTCTGATTCCTCTGATGAGCTGTAATTTTCTTGATGGTAGTCATCCATTTTTTTGAATTAACACAGACTTTCTGCTTTTACAGATTTACTATTTCAGTAAGAGAACATTGCTAATTTGTGACATTTCACTCCCTTATGTCTTGCACTAGGATCAAAAACACCTGGAGGTGATCTCACCTTTATTGTTAAAGACTTCTCATGGAATATAAGCATATATAATTTTTAGTTTACCAAAGAATAATACCCTTCACTTTGGAACTTTGCACTGTGCTAATATAGGCAGATTAATCTCTTACTGCAAGATTTTTGAAAAATCCTTACAAAGGATTTTTGTATACCTCCTTACAAAGGAGGTAATAATAGCTATATATAGAATGCACACAAATTATCCCATAATTAGGAAAGTAAGGAAGACATTTTGCATAAACATTATTGAAAGAAATAAAAATATGCCTCTAAAAATGTTCTTAATTGGAGTCTCCCTTGGAGATCTCACATTGAATATCAGAGTTAAGTGAAAATAATATTAAATTGAATTCCATTAATTCTATAAGAACCAGTTGTTTTTACTAGTCAGCTGGATTCATTTACTAGTTAGATCCTCCATTCTTTTCAAAGCAGTTAAGTTCCATATGCCAGTTTTAGTCCTACAGTGTGCATCACTTTGCACAGTGAATGGCAAAAGTGTAAGTCTGAGTAGCCATAAGAATTAACCCAGGTCTACTGATCATTTGTTTATCAGAATGTATCCTTGACTACTTGTGCAAAGCAACCTTGCAGTTGCACGTGCCGTAAGAGTCACTGATCCCAAAAGTTTGAAAACCAGACTATAAAAATTCCTGCCAAGATCCTTTTTCCTGTACTATACTATCAGTTGACTTTTGAAACACACAACTCTTCCATGTTTTACAAGTGGTACTTTGTATTTAAAGCCATGCAAGGCTGTTCCCCCTCCAGGTACTTTCAGTGACAAAGCAAAACAGCACAGTGAAGATAAATCGCGTCTGTTTGTGTTGTGTGTAAACCAGTTGTCCATTTAAGCAATGACTATGTGCTTCTGTTATGCTACAACCCAGTGAGAAATTCAGTGAAACTGTGAAACCAGCTTTTCAAACTGATTGTTGAGAAGTCCTTTCAGCATACACACCCTCACACGGAGAAAGGAATATTGCTATTACCTGTGTGATTGTCTTGCTTGTAGTGTCTTCTAAGAGCATTGCACTACTGACTGTATTGCTATTCTTTACTCCAGCTTGTCTACCAAAATTCAGTCCTCCTAAAGGCCTATCAAATATCATTTACCTTGGAAAGAGGTCTTATTTGAAACAAAAAGTGTACTCAAAACAGAACTGAAAATTTCAAATACTAAGTTTTTTAAAGTGCTGTAAAGTGCTAGAACAGTCTAGAAATCATATGTATTAGTTTTCATTGTCGTACCACACAACATTTTCACTGCATCATGTCTTATACCTTTGTTTAAACTGATGCTCCTTTTGAGTCAGAGGTTGTCTTCATATCTTTCCACAAGAAGCTGAGAGCTTGCAGCAGGTTTAAAGCGAAAAATGTAACAATACAGGGTGAAAAAAAAGATTATTATTAAATTTATCCAAATTCTATTTTGCATATAAATTTATATGCAGTTGACAAACAATGCAGGGCTCAATTCTGTGCCAGAATTTGAAGAGTAACAATATTTTATCAGATCATAAAATGACTTTGTTTGTTGGAGTGAGACTCCTACATTCAAAATAGGAAACAAAAATACCACAGCAGTAAACCAGAAGGAAGTGACCTGGCACAGGACTAACATCAAATGAACTAAATTATTTTTCTTTTTTAAATTTTTTTTCATGTAACACAGCACAGATTTCAGTATCATGTGAGATTCTGAAGTGTTGTAGTGCAGAAATACCTACCCAAGACTTAGGAGCAGTGAATGGGTTACGGTTGTATAATACCATGTTCCACAATTCCTTCCTATTTTTCCTTGCACTGTTTAGCCAAATATCTTTCTTTTCTGTTTTCTCCTCTGTTTTTCTATCCAGTAAGTGCAGAATGTATTATAAGGTAAATGAACAAACAGTAATCAAGTATCAGAAACTTACTTTGTAGACTAAAAATTGTTACAGAAATTATTTGATTTCAATATGGAGTAATAGAATCACAAACACTTTAATAACTACACAAAACACTTTTTTTCTCTTTTCATTACTACCCATTTTTTATAATTGCTTGTTAAAAATACAGGATGTATTTTTACAGTATTTTAGAAGTTTTTCTAGTATTGGAGGGGTTTTCTTGTCTTATAAAATGACAGCTTAAAATATTTTAAGTTAACAGTTACAGGTAGACACACCTTCTCAGGTGAGTTCCTTGTTGTTCAGGAAAGGTACAGCAAGTGTGTTTGACTTTACACTGTACTGAGTTTTATTGCAGTGATAATTAGGCTCTTATGAACCAAGTTCCCACCCTTTGGATATATTAAAATGCTCAAAACATGCAAATATTCCTACGATGTCTATAGATGTATGCCTTTTACACAGACTCTTACGGAAAAGAACTAGGATTATTTTTAGGTGTTTTCGAATGTAGCTGCAAAGTGCTGGCATAGTTACAGACATAGAAACTCGCGTTGTGGGACAGAGACTAATTGACAGTAGGTAAAGAGCATAAAATTATATGAGTACAGAAGTATTGGCTTCTGTAATAATATGCAGTTGTCAAGGTATTTTTTCCTATTATTCTCTTCTTTACAGTACTATATATACTTCTTTGAATACCATAGAACCATGCTTAAAGATAGCTTCCCCCCTCCGCACCATGTGGCTAGGATAGGTTAAGCACCACATAATATAGTTATCTATATGGTTCTTTCATTTATCAAACATTGCACAAGTGCATTTCCTTTGAATTTGTTTTTTGAATTATTTCGTAACACGCTAAGATTTTGACATCAGAAAGTTCCTCAGAGATACAATTTATAAGCCTATTAATGACCTATCTCCTGCAAATAACCCATATACTTAATGTTCCACCTGTTTAGTTATCTTCTGATAAACAGCAATTCATCTGCTGATTTTCTTTCTCTGCTTGTTGATAAACTTGTGCTCTAAGCAGAAAAAACTTAAAAACTGAAAACAACAACAACAACTGAAACATCAACAAAAAAAGCCCGTCCTGTCTCCTGCCAGTTCTTCAAACACAAAAGCCTGTTCTTCAGAAACTCACTCAGGTTATCAAGATATGCACAAGATAATCACAGGACACAATGTCTACACAGGACTTCTGTTCTGGGTACATACAGATGCATAGGCTGTGTAGAATGTAGAATGTATTTTTGTTAAAATCTTTTCACTTCTAGGGACACAGATTCACAGAAATCAACATGCCTTGAAGAACTGTAGCAGAAGATAGAAAAAATTAAATCAGTTCAGAAAACTCATGTCATGAAATATGAAATACTAAGGCTGAGGCTTGGGAGAGGGTACATGAGCTTGTTCTCTGCCAAGAGAAATCCCATTTTTTACTTTATTCATTAATTTCCCAGTTGGTAAAACTGTGGACAGATTGATGATTCAACCTTAATAATGACTGTACAAAAATGGCATCTCCTTCAGAGAGCAAATTGCTCAGAGCAAGTTGCTTCTATAAAACTGTTACAGTATGTCTAGATGTTTTCCTTTAATAAATGCCTAGCTTTTCTGATAACTTTGTACCAATGCCTATGAGAGATATTACAGTGCACTGCAGTAATTCCTCTCTTCCTTTCATCAGGGTGTCTGTGGCTCATTTCATATTGATTAAACTAGGCAAGTACCAGAAACACTGTCATTGTCTTCGATGAAACCTAGTTGATTCAACTTACTTAGAAGCTGTAGTAAGTCATGGCCCTGGAAATATTACGTGGACTTTTCTTGTGCAGTTGGATCAGCATTTTCTCAGATCAGCAGTTGTGTTATACTCGATGGAAGATTTTTAAATTTCTCCTTCTCCCCACCCTAACAATCAGAATGACTTCTAATATACACTCATGACAGCTTCATGGTGCTATCAAACACCATATCCTTTTATTGTGATTGATGTTGTTGCTCAGGAATTTGGGCACCCTTGTTCTTCTTGAACTTTGCTCATCTCTTGGTGATCATATGCTCTTTTTTCTTGGGGTAAATGCAGTAGTTCTCTGACTCTGAATCCACAGTGCTGAAAAACATGCCTCAAATCTTGGAGGTAATCTACACCTAAACATCTCAGTTGCTGTCAGTAACTTTCCTTTGAACTAGCTGAAATGGGATTTATGCGTATAAAGCTTTCTCAACACATTTTTGGCTGAAGTATCTGTTGAAAGCAAGATAAATCTGTAGTTGAAATTGCTGCCACAGTATACGCTTAGAACAAGAGGGACAATGCTGCCAATTAAAGAGATGTCATGGCTTATTGTGCTTTATATCGGTGGTGACAGGACAGTAAAATCTGGAAGGATGCAGGATGCTCTTCCAGAGGATGAGAAACAAGGACAGCACAATTCAGTTTGTGTTTCACTGTATTGACAGAGGCTGTCCCTTAGGGAAAAGCTGCTATGACAGCACTTTTGTCTGCCTGAGCTCCTGGATGCTTAGTTGCCTTAGGTCCTCCAAGGAAAGCACCCACTGCACTACTTTTATGCAGGGCTAAAGTATGTATATATACTTTGTATATATTTATACATATAAATATATATATTTTGCTATATATATAAGTATTTATATATATATATATATATATGAAAGACATGAGCATGTATTAATCCATTTTGCACCCTCTCTTTTTCCTGGCCTTCCTTCTGGTCCTTGCCACAGCACTGACCAGTATTTTCCAAATGGGGTACCTGTATCTTATATGTCTCTGGGTGCATGTCATCATCTAGTACTTGGACACCTTAATTCCACCTGGATAATCACTACTTGAGTTTGCACATAAAAGCAGTGCAATGTTAGGGCTGTAACTGCTTCAGTTTCATCTCTTAATATTGTCACTACACTTACGCAATTTCCATGCTTAAAGCTTTTCCCAACGCTGGTAACTTCTAAATGAATAGATAATCAATAGGCAAAAGGGGAAGAGAGAAAGAAATTACACGAACATTTTATTTATGGGGTTTCAACTTCTAGCCAATGACAGATAGAAGAAATTATTTAACAAGGTGTGCATCAGTGAAGAACATTAAATGATAAGGGGCAAAAAAGTTATTTCTAGACTTCATTAATTAGGAAACCCAGCCTCTGGTAAGTTGATTCATTTAAGGATCTGACATTATAAATGCTTTTGTAAGTATTTTTCAATTTTTAGTAGTTTCCATATTGTTTCACTTGCTCCCTACAATATTTTCATGGTGCTGTTAGCTCCTTTTCTGTTAGAAATCTTCTGTGTTAGCTTGCATTTGCTTACATGTTGTGAGAGTTTTCATCAGCCTTACACAAAACGTGTAATATACTGAATATGGCTAACATGAATGTGAAACCTATACCTCCTGCACGTATTTGCTTATATTCTGCCCAGATGAGATTCAGATGGTTTTTCAGATCACATTTCATGTATCTTGAGGTTTCAAAGTTAGACAGGCATTTTGACATACGCTGTGCTTTTTTGCAATTTTTTGATCCTCTGATCCTCTCCTTCTCCCATCTTTGTGCAAATCTATGTTGGAAATGTAGTACAACACTGGTGAATTAGAACACAATAATTCTGTGTGCTTAGATAAAGTGTTACATAAGCAACTTTATATTTTTAAGAATATCTGGCAGATATTCTATGTCTTGCAGTGACTGAAATTCTCAGAATAAGTTTTGACATCACAGGTCATTCACCGTCATTGAGATTTGCCTGCTGAAGACTCCTGTCTTCATCCAGTCTGCATGGGTTTTGTTTGAGCTTCTGCTAGGTAGCAGTGACATCCTACCTCTGCTGCCTTGCTCCTGCAAAGAATCACTTCTTCACCAAGACAAGCACAGAGTAGAATCATTTCAGATTGACATTACCTGAAAGAATCAAGATTTAGAATAATCACATTTATGTGTGATTTATATTCTTACAGAAAGCATCTGTCTAAAATTCATTATTAGAGAGAAACATCCTAACACTAAGTAGAAGACTGTGTGTCTAGCTGGTATTGCACATTACAGTTTATATGTCCACTTAGACTGCATACAAAAATATGTGCAGCATATAATTATACATAAGATGTAACAATTTAAAACTGAAAACATCTAACTGGCTGGTGATGGCTGGGCCAAATTTGTGATCACATCAGGATTTTCCAATGAATTACTGCTTCATTTCATGTGATTTATTGCATAAGAAGTGAATTAAAGATTAAACAGGGTGCTTAACATGAGCCAAACTGTATTCTTTTGTCTCACATACTTCCAGAGTGACTTCAGGCAACCTTTTCAAACCCTCCATACCTCTATGTAGTCTCTAAAACATGTATAAGCAGTGTATATGTCTTATAAGTAGTCTGCATATAAGATGTAGTTCCTTTCTGTTTGTAAAGCGCTTTGAGATCTTGGAGAGAAAGTCCTCTATAAATCCAAATAGAAGGGCAGAATTGCAGTTGTGCAGTTTCAAACCCCTCTGCATGTTTTTCTGGTTTAAAAGTGTCTTTGTTGATCATGCCATGGAGCAATATAAATAACACTATCTAAATTCAGGAGAGACTTCAAGTTCAGAACATCTAACATCATGTATCTTCTTTTCCTTGCTGTTAAAGGAGAAAATACCCTCCACACACATGTGACTCATTCAAGTAAATGAAACATGCTCTATTTTCTGAAGTTGTGTTATAATTTCACACATTTAATTTCTTGCAGATTACTACAGACCTGAGGCAGCGTTGCACAGACAGCCATACTGGAACCTCAGCCTCTGCACCTATGGCTGCAGGCATCATTGCCCTGGCACTGGAAGCAAAGTAAGATCTGAGATATATTCTGAAACAAAATTAAGCATTTACAGGAAGATATTTCTCATTCATCCAGTACCTTTATGCATACATCACACACTTTGGAACCTCTCTTGTCACAGTAACCTTCTAAGGGCAGGAAAGATCTCCATGCTTACCTACACACAAAGGAAACACTGTGGAAATGCTGACAGAGTACGCAGTGTTGAAGTAAAATGAAACAATATTGAGCACAGTTGGTTTCCATTAAATGATGTATAACACCCTTGTAACATCTTATAGTTCACTAAGAAGGCTGCCTAGATCTGCTGTACCCAGCAGAGTACTGTAGGTCACCTCCTCCATTCACCAGACTTCTCTTAGCAATGTCTGCTCTTGAACACTGAAAGAGGTTGTGGGAGGTGTCAGGTTAACCTGAACATAAGTTAATGTAGTGTGAAAATAAAATCTCAACTTCTGCACGCTGACACAAGTCTATTTTTTAACATGGGTCAAGCTCCTCAGCTCTAAAAACCATGAATAGTGTAGCTCCATAGTCCTTGTACCTTTAGCTCAAAAAAAATCCTCTTACAAACATTTTTTCAACTACATGATTTATGCCTAGTATGTATCTCTAATGTGGTTCACAGAGCAGCAGAAATGTGGGAGCTCTTCAGGTAAATCTGTATTTCAGAACCTTTTACATTACTTTGTACTCTACTGGATAATACCTGAAGGTTTAAGATGGAGTGGTTCACCCCAAATCCTACTCAATGTTTTTAAGTTCTAGGAGATTGATTCTATTAAATTCTGAAGAAAACTAGCTTCCTGTGGGGTCAGCCATTTTCTTTGAAGGAAGTAAGAAATTTGCACGCAATAGTACTTTCAAATTGCAAATCATAATAATAGAATTATGTTTCCATCTTTCATGCTGCTTTTTGTTGAACACTTTGACCCAGTATTCAGCACAGAATACTTTTTGAGTTATAAGCATAAGAATAAGAGTTTGTAATTGAAGACCTGAATCTTAAGTAGTGTGACACTTGTGTCATTATAATTGTGTTTTCTTTATGCAGTTATCAGAAACAAAGGTCTTTTGAAAAGTTAATATAATGTTAGTGTGGGTTGATTTAAACTTTTAAATGTCCTCTTAACCTCCATTTTAAAATTCTGAAGTTCATTCCAAACAGTCTGCAAATGCAGATAAGACTGTGTGTGTGTACATGCCAACTTGCTGTAAGTTTTCTCACTATTCTTGCTTAATGAACTGAAATTGGTAGTTGATTCTTTTTTGTTTTGTTGCTGAAAGTTTCAGAACAGTTATGCCTTACAAGATCTACAACAAAGCGATTTCTCATTGTGACTTCTTACAACATTGAAAAGCTTACATTTTTTTTTAGTGACCTTCGGTGGCTCTACCAGTGGGAAATCTGTATTAGTGCATATGGACTAGTATTTTTTTTCAAACAAATAGTTGCTATAATAGACATAAAGACAAAACTGTGTTAGAGCTTTATATGTGGTGATGGAGACAAAATGTGCCAGTGACTAAACATCCTAGTAACTCTTTAGTATTTGTAGTACTCCATTGCATGGTACTAAAAAGAATTTCAGAGTGAAAATGTGGAAAATGTTGATTTTGCCTCCTTTTAGATTCTGTTCCATTTCATTAAATGGAAGGTTCTGTTTCTAGATCTTAGCCTATATATTTGAGTAGATACAAAGGAATTATTAATATCATAAATGTGGTTTTATTAATTTGTATTTCATTCACTAACTTTTCTCTCTTACACGTATTTCAAATCTGCCACTGAAGCTGACCACAGCCACTAAAAAAAAAAAAAAATTAAAAGAAAAATTAAAAAATAAAAAGAAAAAAAAAAATTAGGGAGAAAAATAGTTCTCATGTTATGGCTTCCCATGCTGGTTTTCTTCACCAGTTTGGAGAAATCTTTGGTCTTGTGACATTATAGATTATGAAGTACAACCTTTAGTATAATAGGGAAATCATATTGTGATCTATTAAATTTTATGTGTGGGGTTTGCTTGTATGGAATCTGTTTAGTTTATTTATGCAGTTTCTGAATTTCATATTAATGTGATTTGAAATTTCAGGTTGTATTTTTCACTTGTGATGCCTTCCAATTTAGGTGACCCTAAATTAAATGTTAGGAATTAAAGTATGAAAAAAAAAAAGTTCTGAAGCCATCAAAGTATTTTCTGCAATACTTTAAAAATGGAATATAAAGGATACAAAATTGTGGCTCAGTGTAACTGCTTACTGGAACTATTTTGCTTCAAACAGAGTTTGCATTTTCATGCATTCTTACTTAGATTCCGTATTAATAACTCTGCTAATGGCAGTATTTATGTGAGATTTTTTAAAAAGACAAGTTGGAAAAGAGTTGCAAGGTTAGTTATATTCTTTGTACAGCAAGCTGCTTAAAAATTAAAGCACTTCGTCCTGAACACTATTTGACTGTTTATAATAATGTATAGTTTCATTCCATTTTGTGTTGGAAAAACACAATTTTTACCACAGAAGGGTTTTGAGTCTATGGAAGTCAGTTTTCCCCAGCAGCCAAGTTTTATTCCTGGGAGACATCATTAATTGAACAGAGAACTAATATGACCTGGATATGAGTTAGAACAGCCAAAAGGGTGCTTCAACTCACACACAAAGGTACATTTAACCAAATGAAAAAAAAAAAGCAAAGCAGATTTACACTGCAGCCTTGCACTTTCTTTCCTTGACAAACCCCATATGTTAGGATTGGCAAATCGCTGATGGAGGTTCTCTTATCTGCCTACTGATTTGAACCCTACACTTAGCCATTTCTTCCAACAGGGATCTGCTTCTAAAATCCTGGTAACAAATTATTTGAGGATGATTTTATGTATAATGTGAACACATTTTTGTTATTTTTGATCTAGTATTTGGGTATCAAAGTGGCATGTTTTTCCTCAGGAATCAAAGAATTGCAACTGAGTTTCAGACTGCATGTTTGCATTGCACCCCTGAGGGTGCAATGTAGGGTTGTAAAAATGCAATAACTATCACACAAAGACATATCTTAATTTTCATGTTCTGAAGTTTTCTTATGGTATTTAGGTAGTAAATGGGTCTCCAGTTGTACCCAGTTGATGGTTCTCAGTATATCTAGTACCTTGATCAGGTCCTATGAATAAATGCTTTCTTGTATGTTGCATTTTGACATGTCAAATTTTTCTAATTGTTAAATGAGAAGATAAGTATAATCAATTTAGTGCACAGAGACAGCAATTTTCTTTCTAAAAGTAAACTTTGGATAGTACCATCTACTGTTGCTAGAAATACCTTTTCTCATTGATAAAAGGGTTGGATTTAGGATTTGATCAAATCAGACTCAGGAGATACAGTGGCCCTGTATTTGTTCCAGAGACCATTGTGCCATGTTCCTTTAAAGAAGCCAAGTTTAAATAAAAACCCTTTTGTTGCTGACAGAAGAATTCATTATACACCCCCAATTGAACTGCATGTTCCTATAAGCCAGTGCATATTTTCCAGCATGTGATATATAAACTCGTTTCATTAGTAAGGAGCAGCAAGTGAAATGGAAGTATTAGTCTGCTACCTTTCTACTGTGTGGTACACTCAGTGCTATAGCCTTAGAGAGAGAGTATGTTTTCTGTCATGGTTCTCTTTACTTGAATGATATGGAATCTTAGAATTATTTCATTTGGAAGGGACCTTAACGATCACCATCATCAGAAACACTTTTCACTAGACTAGATTGCTCAGAGCCCCCTCCAGCCTGGCCTTGGAACAATTCCAAGGGGGCACCCTTAACTTCTCTAGGCACCCAGTGCTTTACTAAGCTGCCAGCAAAGATCTAATCTAAACCCACTCTATCAAAGAAAGTAGCTTTTCCTCAAAGGAGAGGTGCTTCATCTCTCTAATAATTTTTGTGGCCCTCCTCTGGATTTGCTCCAGCAGGTGAATGTCATTCCTGCATTTGTCTTTTTTTACATGAAACTGAGGCTAGAGCAAGGTAGTTCTGGGAAGAACTAAAGAATCTTAGTGAATTCTGATACTAGTGACAGAAAAGTGACATTGTACCACATTCCTCTAAAAGACAGTACCACCAAGTGTAACCACTGAGACAAAAGGAAAATGGAATTCACATTGTTAAGGGGTCAAGAATGTCAGAGGGAGATACTTTGGATTTCTGGCAACTGAACAGATATATTTGCATACCTCCCAGAGTGATTAATTTTTTTACAGAAAGGAGAAGAGCAGTGCACTATCTAGCAAGGTGCAATTTTGGATACAGAAAACATATTTCTATATTATCAAAGTTATGGGCGATTTGTCATAAATATAGTCAGAGGTTAAAAGTGATGAGACAGCTGAGGTGAACTGAGGAAGTGCTGTCAAGTGACCTCTATAGCTGAGTGCAGGAGAAGAGGTTATAATTTAAGTATATCAGCTTTAGCCAGGTCTTTACTCCACTGATTGATTGCCTGTTATAGAAGGCAATGCTAGAGTGCGTGAGTTAAAAATCTCCTTCTGAATCTTAGCATTTTTTCAGTAGTTTCCTTTTAGTATTGAAATAAATAAAAAACATAGCCATTAATAAATTCTTACCTTAGAACCTATCTTTCTCCTGAGGTTTAATCACCTATTTTACTTATGATATTGACATTGATTTGAGTGTACTTTGGTTCCTGTTCCTGTTTTCAGTCACATATAAATTTGCCAAAGAATAACCATTCAGGCTGAAATTTCCAATTTAACTTGTATTCAAAAGATTTATGAAAAATCCATTCAGACATTTCCTAAACTCAAACAAGATTAAAAACAAGTAATATTTGATTGTGTTGATTTTTAACTTCTTCATAGAGTTTTTCCGTGTCTGCTTTGGAGTGACAGCTAGAAATAAAACTAGTGGATAGCTGTTGTTCTGGTGCCAGGACAATGCCTTTAACTTGTACAAGCTTTTTAGAAATCTCGGTTGGCATTTTCTCAATTGAGACTTTTAAGAGTTTAGCAGCTCTGTCCCCTGTAGTTTTTTGGCTTCCCAAGTGTTTTCCAGCACCAGCCTTTAGATGCTAGTCTCTGAAGTTACTCTTGCAGTGCTTCTGGCTGTTCACCTTGAGAGCAGGGATCTCAGCTGCTTTCTGCTGTCAGTTCCTTGTGGGAGTAAAATGAAAAAGGTGAAAGAGGAGCAGTTTCACTGAATTGCAGTGTCCCTGTAGTCAGTCTCTTGAAATGCGGAAGACAGGTCGAGTCAATAGCCTGTGTACCATGCTAACCATATTTTCCTTTATTAACCCAAGACAATGTAAGTCTTCTCCATCTTCACAATCAAGCTGGTTCTAAGAGCGGCAACTAACCTAAGGTTTTGTTGCTGTTCCTTCCATGCTGTTATTAAGCAGACTGTGAGCATTGTCTTTTGGACAGTCTTCTTTTATTGTTCCTTTGGAGATGACACAATAAAGGATGTAATTCAGATGCCTTTCTCTCAGGGGTTTTCTCCTCCCAATTTCATCATTATCAGCCTTCAGTTAGGCCATTGTTTGTTTGATTTTTGGCACTTACGATTTTTTATCTCTGTGTGCACTGCAGATTTGACACAGGTACACCAGAACACCATTGCTGGTGGATGTATAGCTGCCTACCCCAATGTTCATCTAAAGAAATGCATCATGTCCTGTCACAACTTGTCTGGATTTTATCCTAAAAACCATTATATAGATAATGCAAAAGATGGATATTTTTTTTCTTCCTTTTACAAAAGAGTGGTAAAACCTTAAAACAGATTGCCACAGAGGTGGTAGATGTCCCATGCCTGGAAACATTCAAGGTCAGTTCAGACAGGATTCTGAGTAACCTGATCTAGTTAAACATGTCCCTGCTGATTGCTGGGTACTTGGGCTGAGTGACCTGTAAAGGTCCCTTCCAGCTCAAACCATTGTGTGGTTCTGTGGCAAATCTTCCAATACTGCCTCATGAGGAGATCAGGATGCATTGCAGAAACCGTGGAGATGCAGCAAGTATATGAACTGAATGTTGTAAAGTAGAGCTAGAAATTGATTTAAATTATGTTGTACAGGCAAATAAGGCAAAAAAAGCTTCTACATGCTATATGACATGTAGAAGTATATCCTATGTTACAGATCCTTAATGTGCCTTACATTCCATAACTTCTTAAAAATCTCTTTTTCAGTAATTTTTACAAGCCCAACTGGTTAAACAATTACTGTCATTCTAGTCCAGCAGCCTGATGTGAGAAACTGCACCATAAGAAAAAAAAAGTACCTATAGGCATAGTAATGTTTTCTAAAAATGCTCAGGGAGAGAAGGCATCTGCTCTCATATTTAATGAGACATTTAATGCAACAGAATATTTAAATATGTTAAGAATCTGATTTAAGAACCAAGGTTTCCCTGGTTTTCAATGGCTGGACAGTGTAAGGAGCCAATTCTGGGTCTTACAGACTTAGTTCTGTTCTATCTTCAGCTGAGGGGAATTGTGGCAGTGTGTTCAATAGGGACAGGTAATGATGCTCTGAGAATGCTACTTAGTGCCTAGTGTTCTGCAGCACGTTACTTTTTTCCTCTTCATTGTTTAGTGGCTCAGTTTATCATTCCCTTTAGTGCACTGCATTTTTAAAGAGAATACTGTTCATCTTCTTGCAGGTAATAGAAAAACTGAAATATTGGGAGGAACAAGAAAAAATAGCCGCATGATGGCACCTTTAGATCGTCTTCTAAGAAAATAAATTCTCCCTGTTGTAGATATAGAAGAAGCAGAAAACCTGCAATCTCTGAATATTTGCCCTAGTCCTAGAAGATAAATGTATATTAATGTCACAGTGAGAACAGGAACAGCATCCTATTTCACCTTCTAGGTGGACAGGTTTTTATTAATCCTGGAATACACATCTGTTCAGTCAGGCCCTTGCTTTGTAACTCACCAGCCATCCAACTGCTTGGAATTATTGCAGAATACTCTCAGTGAATTCCAAGACCAGAGTAGTCGACAAATTAATAACAACAGAGGCACCTGGAATAGCTTCAATAGGAACTGAAAGTCTAGAGGAATTTCTAGTTTGAGCTAACAGTTAGTGAGATTTAGTAGAGCTTTTCAGCAAGCCAAATGTTTGATTTCTTCTCTCTTACATTCATTAAGATACAGTAGTTGGTGGTCATAAAAATTGTCTCTGTGTGAAATGAACTCCTCCCTTAAGTTTCATATATTATCATATATTATCATATATTATTACAGTCTGCTTATGGCAAACCTCACAGTTATATAAATTTCATATAGTCTTTCTGTAAAATTGGAACATGTTATTTTGAATGGAGCAAAGGGAAGTAGAGAAGATAAATGAAAGTTGTTTTGCTTTGGACAGTCTTCAGCTTACATGGCTTTGTATCACTACATCCTGGTAAAATGTCTAATCTGTGACTTTGTCCTTCTCCTGTTTCATAGTCCATTTCTGACCTGGAGAGATGTACAGCACATTATTGTCAGGACTTCACGTGCAGGACATCTGAATGCTAACGACTGGAAAACCAATGCAGCTGGTTATAAGGGTGAGAGCTTTCTTTCTTTCTTCTTTGCTATCACAAGCAACCTATTATTTGATATTTTTGTTTGACACTATGCTGTGCATAGTTTGGAGACCTTTCAGATTCAGGCTGAAGGGGCCTATCTTCTCTTATACAAGGAAAACCTCGTAGAATGACTAATGCACAGAGCCATCAGCTTAAAAATGCATTGGCTTGATCTTCTTAGTCCCTTTCCATCCCATATCATGCACTGCTGCCAGTAAACTAAATAAATTAGAGGTGTTTACTTTTTCTTTTTATACCTAGTATTCTGATAAAGTAGTATAGAGTTGAAGACGCAGCAATTCTGGATTCCAGCCATGTTCTCCCTCGGAATTATTGACAGTTTCAATTTAAAATAATGAAACAGTATTTTCAAATTTCATTTTTATATTATAAGCTCTACATTATTTATAAGTAAAAATTCTGACAGATTTTGGATACAATCAAATTTTGAGCTGTCATGACTTTTCATGGGACAGGTGATCATTTTTCAGTGACCTGTCATGTCAATTTCTAAAATTTTGTACCATCTTGTAAATTTGAAGAAAACTACATCTTAAAAACATTTTTTCACTTTTGTAATGCAAGCAGAGGTAAACACTTGTGCTATTAAATAGGATATTTATTTTCAGGGTGGGTTAAAATGAAAACTTGAATCTGTACATTTTATTTCAGCACAGTTTGTCTTCTGATTCCCATTCACTACATTCTTGCTGCTTTCAGTTTGTATTGCATCCTAATCAAAACCCTGGAATGGCTTATTTCTGGTTCTCTGTTCATAAGAATTCCACGCAGTACTAAAATACCTCTTTTAAGATGAGATTTGATCTGTTTGTGCCAGGATCTCGTGAGAGAAAAATGTAATATTCAAGAACCATCAAATCTTTGCCCTGGCTTCACTTTAAATGGAAGCCTATATTTAAACTATTTTGGATCAAGGCACTGCTATTGTAGAACATCTTTAATATATAATTCTGACCTAGGACATTTTTGGTGCAATGGCATAGAAATCAAAAAAAGAAAAAGCCCCACTCCCCTCCCCCCCACACACCCGTCCACACACACACACAAAAACAAACCACAAAAAAACACCCAACAAAACAAAACAAAAACACCAAACACCTTTTTAACTACAGAGAATGTGTTTAGAAATGGATATTTGATCAGAACCTCCTAATCATGTGAAGGTTCTGATGTTCAAGGGCCTGGTTTTTTATCTCATTTACAAGTGCATGCCCCCACACAAAACACATAAATAGATACTTCCTTAATTGCAATAACATGACAGTATTTGTTATTGTGAAACATCTCCCAGGATTTAAAAAGTTTTATCAGGAGACTGTGACTCTATCATCAGTTTATTGAAGCTATATGAAGGTCAAAGAACACTTTTCAAGTAATGTAAAGCAGAGCTGTTTATTTCATATCTTACTTCCAGAATTCTATATTTTTTTATGTTTTTCCACTTGTTGCCCAAGAGAGGCAAACACCCTGTGAGTCACTTCACAGCAGCTGTCACTCATTGTAAAAAAACAGGTCACACTAAGGTCACACCAGCAGCAGCAACATTGGCAGCAGGACTTGTACTGTTGAATCATGGTTGAACCACTGCTTATTCTGAATCCTTTGAACCATTTTTCCATGCATTGTAACATGTATATATATATATATATATATATATATATATATGTATGTATGTATGTATATATGTATGTATGTATGTATGTGTATATATATATATATAGTAAGGAAAAGGGATGAAAAAAGGTTTTGTCTCCACTCATGGAAAGTCACAACCATAAATAAGCTCAACTTGGTAACTTGGATTCAGGAAAAATACCTTGAACTGGCTGAATTCTCCTGTAGACTCGATGGTGAAACTGAAAAAGGGGAGGACGAGCTAAATGCCTTGACCTCTGCACAGCTCAGGAATCAACCTTAACCCAAATAAAGGCATTAGTTTCAGCTAAATTATTCTGGCAACTTAGGCTGAGCACATAGTTCCAATAAAAATACATCTCTCTTTAAACTCCTGTTGATTTTGGAAGAAGAAGCAAAAGATTTAGTTTAAATCACAACATCCGAACCTGAATTCAAAAGGGGATTTGCACACCACTGCTGGAAAGATTGAAAGAGGTTTTTTATTGCACATGGCAATATTTAATATAATATTACATTATTATCCTTCACTATTGCCAATAGTAACAATTAAAGTATGGTTTTCCACAGATGAACTACTCTAATCAGACTGAATTCCTTAAGGAATTGTATCATAATTTTGTTGATAACAAGATCCATGTTTCTTCCACAGCATGATCTTAAGAGTGGGTGGAAGGTTTTTTTAAGTATCTGAAGGAGACAGTCACAAGAAACAATCTACCTTTCTTCAGTGTATAATAGTGGAGAAAGAGGGAAACAAGAATAAAGAGAAAGAGAGGTTCACTGCTTTAGAAATAAGAACTGAAAGGGTGAAAAACAGCAAAAACCTGAAAAAACCTATCACTCAACAAAGGGTCAGCAAGAGCTGGTAGTTGAAAGTGGGTCAGTGCCATTTCAGAGGGCTGTTTTGCTGGTCTGCATGGCAACCCTCTCCCTTTGCCATAGTCCCTGGCAGTGTTTTGCCATTGCGGAACATGTAGAAAGAGCTCACAATGTCATTACTGGTTTCAAGATCTCCTTTTTGTACTGTCTTACATTTATACAAAGAAGTATTAATTAATGCAAAACGCTTAAGCCAACTAGTGATTTGCTAAAGCAGTGCTTGTTATTTGTTTAATTTTCTGGCAAGTAAACAGTGCTCATTAAATTCATGTCAATAGAATTAACTCAGGAATGAGAAAGAATTTTTACTTGGTAGGGGTTTTTTTATTGTTTTCTTGTTAGACAGCATGCATCTTTTCTTAAGAACTTGTTATTTTGTAGTCTGAAAAGAAAAACTTGAATACTCAGGATATTCTCTGGTTAGTCAGTTGTACATATAATTTGTCAATAGAGGGTTTTTTAATAATTAAAGAAGTTAATTAGCTGATGTTATGGAAAAATACTTGAGAGCATCTGTTTTTGTGAAGATATTAAAACTGTTGATCTGTTTCTGCTGTGGCAGATTGGATGCAAATCCTTGTTCTGTCAGCTGTTTAGTCAACAGAGCATGCAAGCACATTCATAAAAAGGAAACTGCATTAATGCTGACTTGTCTCTGACTTGAAAGATAGAGAATGAAACACTGCAGTCTTAAGAACAATGATCAAATCATATAAACAGTTCTTTGTCTGTAAGTGAAGCTCCACATACTGTCAAATACTGTCTCTGGAGAAACAGGCCATTCATAGGGAGGAATACTACTAATTTGCAGGGAAATTTTTAGCGAACATACTTCACTCTTCCTGGCTCTAAAGGACAGACAATAACACTTCAGTACACTGAAATAAAATGCTACTGAAAGATAAGATAAAATGAAATCAAAATTCTACCCAGTTTTTTTTCAGTTTCAGGCCATTCTTAGGCCCAGAGGAGAAACTCTTCATTAGAGAAACCAAATTACCCCAATTGCCAAGGAGTAATAACACAGTCATGTGACATCTCTAGATTAACCAAAGTATCTGCTGCTTCCATTGAAGAGTGACCCCTGAAAAGGATTAGTCACTTAATATTTTAGGGCCTTTTAATATAATTGCTTAATTACAGTATTTAATAAAACTGGTGATTATATTAGTTGTGAGCAGAACATTAGCAGTCTGGGACTGAGAAAGAGATTAGTCTATCTAGGCTCCTATTTAAGAGACTTAGACTGGACAGATTTATCTTGTGGTAGCCAGGCAGGACGGGGGCCTGGAGCCAGTTATGTTTAATATCTTTATCAATAACCTGGACAAGGGGATCAAGTGCATCCTCATTCAGTTTGCAGATGGCACCAAGTTGGATGGGAATGTTGACCAGCTGGAGAGAGAAGGCTCTGCAGAGGGATCTGCTCAGGCTGGATCAATGGGCCAATTTGTGAAATGCTACAAGGTGGCGTTCCAGATTCTGCAATTTGGTCATAACAACCTTGTGCAGCACTTCAGGCCAGTAGAATAGTGGCTGGGAAGCTGCCTGACATAAAAGAACCTGGGGTGTTGATCAACATTAGCAGAGTTGGAGCATGAGCCAGTAGTTGCCCAGGTGGCCAAGAAGGCCAGTGGCATCCTGGTTTGGATCAGGAATAGTGTGGCCAGCAGGACCAGGGCAATCACTGTTCCCCTGTACTTGGCACTGGTGAGTCTTGTGTTAAGTTTTGGAGCCCTCACAACAAGAAAGACATTGAGGTTTGGAGCATGCCCAGAAAAGGGCAACAAAGCTCTTGAGTCTAATGAGGAGCTCTTGAGGGAACTGGAATTGTTTAGCCTGGAGAAAAGGATGCTAAAGTACCTTATCTTTCTCTGCCGGAAAGGAGGTTGTAGCAAGATGAGAGTTGGTCTCTTCTCACATGTAAACTAGCCTAGGACAAGATGAATTGTGATGGGGAGGTTTAGATCGGCTGTTAGGGAAAATTTCTTCTATGAAAGGGTTGTCAAGCATTGGAACAGACTGCCCAGGCAAGTGCTGGAATCACCATCCCAGAAAGTGTTTAAAAAGATGTATAGATCTGGCATCTGGGAGCATGGTTTAGTAGTTGACTTAGCAATGTAAGGTTAGTTATTGGACTTGATTGTAAGGATTTTTCCCAGCCCAAATGACTCTGTGATTCTAAGTAGGCATCTGACAGCAAACATATTCTTGGAAAAGGCAATCTAATTATATATACATGACTGTCTTCAACAGATTGGTAGATGTAAAGTCTGAGATAGATGTTGTCCTCACATATGTATGCATTAGTATTCTGCTATCTGAACTGTTTAGACTAATCTGAACTTTTGCATTATACATTACCAATGTACATACCAATACATTACCAATGTATTGGTCCTGCTCTGGACTTGCTCCAACAGTTCCATGTCCTTCTTATG